TCCTTCTTTCCCTCCCTAAAGGAAAAAGAAGGGTAACCCACAAATTTTAGGTCACCCCCTCCCCTTTGCCCTAGCTTTTCAGCCACCTTTTCTTCATTGTTTTATGCCAATTCAAAGGATTTTATTTGAAAATATTTGAAGGGAAAAAAAAAAGAAAAGAAAACCCACCATTTCTTTCCCTGCTATTTGATAATTACATTGAACCACGTTTTTTGGCTTGAGATTTCCCCATAAATACCTCCATTCACTTATTCACCAACGCAATATTTGTGGCCTTTGGGTTAAAGAGTGAAGAAGAAGAAGAAGATGGTGATGCTCGGCATCGTCATCCAAAATCTTTACCCTCTTCATGCGGTTTTTTTTTCATTCATAATACCATGACATGCAACCATGCATATGTACATACACATATATATGCTTCTTCATCATCAGCATGACATCCATGTATGTATGTGCCTGGCTCCCTGTATGCCATTTGCAGAGCCCATTGAACTTCGATAGCCTCCGTGAATGGCGTATGAGGAGCCATGCATGTACTCCATGTATTTCACATCTCTGTGTGCATATATATATATATATATCCATGAATATTCTTCTATTGCAGGCTTTTCTCTTCTTCTTCACTTGCTTTCCAGGCTCAAGGACCCCCTATTTTCCAGGTTTTTTTATCACTTTTTTTATTCCCAACAAAAGGTAACTCTTCTTCTTCTCTGATCATTTATATCAGCTTCTAGGGTTTTTTTTCTTTCTCACATTTTCCCGAAATTTTGGCAGAGAATAAAAATATTACCAAGTTCCCGTGTAAGTTTTATGAGCTGGTAATCTGTAGCTTAAAATTACAGTCTCATTATAAAAAAAAAATCTTAACTGTTCCTGACACCATGGAAGTTATATAAAACATTACATAAGGTGTCTTATCATTCTTGTAAATTGTAATTTAGTACTCTACTCTTGTCCGAAGTATCTGTCATTTGACCAATGGTAATAACGTCATTATTTTAGTTATTTAAAAAAAATCAAATAGTAACATGTTAGTCGATATATATTCATTTTTATGAATATCACCTTGAGAGATACATTTTCTCCTTAAGCGTACCTAAATATAATTATACAAACGTTAGAAGGGAAAATAATATACAGTTTTAAAGATAAAAGATAGTTTATTAGTTTCATTCATATTCCTCTATTTTTTTCCTTTGAGTTTTTGTTATTTAAACTAATTCTACTTTTATATATGAATTTCTAGCAGGGCGTTTATTATAAGTATTTCTTGTTGGTGTTTATATCTACTAGCCTCTTGCCTAGATTACCCTTTGGGTTTTATTAATAAATTTATTTTGACTGAGTAATATTTGATCGAATATTAATATTGTGAATTTAAAATAATATGAAAAATTATAAAAAAATAAATCCTTTACCAAAATGTTTATGATTCACTTTTTATAAACTATTGGTTTTTTCCAGTGCCTAAAGATGGAAAAAGTCTAAAAAGAGAAACAACGGTTTATTTGTTATATTTATATAATGAGATTGATTTGGAAAATAAAATGGATTTGAAAGTAAATGTGTTACTTTTCAAACAATAAATGTTGAAGAGAAAGTAATTATTTACTTTTTGATTTTAATAATAAACAGGGTGTTTAATGTCTGACCAGCCATGAACAAAATAATGGACTTTCCTTTTAAAAACAAATAATTCACGTTCTAGGGTTTGGCAAAAGTTAAAGTTTTATTTAGCAAGTGCGTAGCATTATCGTTATGATTATCGGTAGTCGCAAAAGGAATTGTAAAAATAAAATAAAAACGACCAACCCCTTATTACTAATATTGTTTTTAAATAATATATATATATATATATATTTATAATTATATAATGTGAATGCATCAAATTAGTGGTGAGCGTTTGATTGAGTCGAGTTGAGCAAAATTTTGAATTATTCGTATTGACGAGTCTTATTTTATAACTTAGAGTCGACTTAAATTTTTTCGAGTTGAGCCAAGTTAAAATTCCTAGTTTCTATTTAAATTTAATTGTAAATATTTACAATAATATGATATTATTTTATTTTAATTTAAATATTATTTTATAATCATATACAATACATATATTTTTTATATTTTTCATATGTAATTTACATGTACCATACAAAGTTGAGGGACTCGACTCATATTTCGACTCAAACTTAAAAATCAATATATTAATTATTAAAAAATTTGAGTTATTCTTGAACTTGAATTTTTTTTTAATTCGAGTCGAGTTTATGAAATTACAATTCAAAGTCAATTCGAGTCGAAATGAATCGAAAAAAATGAACATCTAGAAATAAATCAAATTTTGCTCACCCCTACATCAAATATTATGACCTTTCCCATACTGATGCCCGCAGTATAGGAAAGTTTTAGTGCAATTACCATTATCGATATCTTCGTAGGCATTAATCAACATGTACAATTTCGTTCAACAACCCACCCGTATTATTTGAGTAATTTATTAAAAAATAAACAAGGTGGATAAGATTTAACAACCGGTTTCAATACCGGAATAAATACGTGTATTTATTTTATAACAATGTGTATTTAATTTATTAGTTCAAATTAGATATTATATTTCTTTTGAAGTCATGAATTAGGTATTGTATACATTCAATTTAGGGGCGTTTTTCTCTACTTAGTTGCTCTATTTATAAATGATATAATTTGAATCTCTAACATTATTTAAGGAATATAGTATTTTATCTTATTAAATTAATTAATTATTAGTTAGTAAATACGTGTATTTAAATAGCACTTACATGACTACAAAGCATATATAATAGCGAATAATATGTAGCTCCATCCCAAGCCGTTTGATGTACTTTTCAATTTTTAACGTTAAGGGTGTAACTATGAGAAATCGAGGAACATGCTAAAACAAGACAACAAAAGAAAAATAAGGTTGCTTTTGTTTCTAGTACATCTGACGTGTTCAAAAATTCAAAAAATGATATCGAAAATTTTAGTATTTTATTTTTTAGAAACGAAATTTATTTATTTATTTTTAACATATTAAGTTATATTTAATAATTTTTTTAAAATAATAGGTATGCAATTACTGCCTTCCGAGACTTAGTATAAACCGTTTGAATTAGGAAGAAATCTCCAAACAACAAAATGCGTATACGAACAAAATAGTGAGAAAATTATAGGTCCTTATTTTTATTATGATTAAAATGTTACCTTATTTAAAATTAGTGACCTAAAGTGATCAAAAACGAACATGTGACCATAGTTTACCCTTTTAATTATTATACAAAACACATTCATATTTTTTTTGAGGCTATTCAAAAGTGTTTGATATGTGATTGGTGAATAGAGAATAAAGCTACACTGTGAAAGTGAGTCAAAAAGGAGTATTGGGTCAGACATGATCTAAGGGGAATCATGTTAAACATATCATATTTTATTCTTTCATAATCTTTTTTTTAATAATTAATTTAAAGTATAGTTTACTTTTTTGAAGAATGGCAGCACAGTTATATAATTGCCTGTCATTTCAATAATTGGCTAACTCAGCATGAATAGGTCAAAAAGCATTCTTTTCAAAGAAATAATTTTGTGAAGCTCTTCATCCTCTTTTATGTATTTATTACTGCCATTATTTGCTCATATGCTGGTAATGTTTATCTTATCTTAAACAGCAAAAGGCATGGAATCTCAGAATGCACGTTATTATAGTTTTCATTTTCTTCTCTGATAATAAAAATATTTTACACCAGTCTAAGATTCTTAATATAGATCTATTTTGATGTGATGAGTTGACTTCATATATAAAGTGCATGTCATCTATTATAGTTTACATACTGTATCCAACATTCGTAAGAAATCTAAACAACCTATATGAAATATATCCTCAATGTAATAAAGTGTTTCTCGATTATCGTATGGCATAATTAACAATTATGTTAATGAATCTTAAATACTTGAGTTTTTTTTTTTGAAAGATAAATATTTAGAGTTTTTTTAACATATGATTGATTTCACTCAGACAAAATCTTTTATATAAACAACAAAAAGCAAAAATAATTGTAAATTAATTTTGAACTATAGAATCAAATTCAATAAAAATAATAAAAAAATTGGTCTGAGGAATGAAACTTGGTGATGTGGAATTTTCCTCGGTGCGGCAATATGTTTGTTGCTTAAGTTTTAGAGATCAATTGCATGTTTTATATTACGTACCTAACATCTAAATTTTATTTTATTTTTGGAGTTAATGTTGATGACTAACATTCGGGGGTGTCTTTGTCGTAGGCATATACTGCATTTTATCTAACTTTAACTTAAAGTTTTAAATTATCATCATAACAATTGACAAGATAACATCTTCAATGTGGATTGAACACATATAAAATTTAGATTTAAAACCTACGAAATTTCAAAAGAAAAATTTATCATTGAATCAAAACCTCGTCAACTTAATCATACATTTTCTGAGTTTATGTGAAACCAATAATAAATACATCGTACATCGACGGTCTATATTTTAAGCTCTACTAGTAAATTAAAGCACCACGGTGTCTTCCTTTTTATTATTTAACTTACTTGAAATTAAAAATTAATCAACGAACCTAATAATAATCCTTCAAACCATTCATTTGCCATGTCAAATTCATATATCCTATTTGCTTTTTTTTTTTTTTTGTTTGAGCAAACCAGACAATACTCAAAGCAAACAAATTAAATAAATCAAAACCTTCTAACTAGTTCCAACGTATGAAATCTTTCGCTGTATAAATCTAAAGATCCATGACAGGCTACATTAAAGAGTTCCTTGGGAACAACATATATAATAGACCTAAACATAGAATCAAAACAAGCACAATGCCATGATGATTTTATATATTTTTTACATCATTTAGCCATCATATTCCCCTTGTGCAAACTTGTTTTCCGGATAGTAGACCGCAATGACTTGATTTCCACCGAACTTCCTACCATTCATTGCAGCTTGAGCTTCTTTGGAACCTTCAACATCTGAGTACTCCAGAAATACCTAATCACACCACAGAGTTACAGTCAGTAACACCAGGGGGTAATACTTTGGAACAACTTAGTAGAAATAACTATGATACTTGGCCTTGGATGTGAATGTTAAATACAATTACGAGTCCAACACGGCTATGTACAATTTTTTTTAAAGCTTTTACATGTATTAGGAGGGGTTTTGGATGGTCATATCCCATTAACTGTGACCAAGTATTAAACGGGATTAAGAAAAAAGAATAGGCAGAACAGCATTGAAGAAAATGTAAAAAAGCATCAAAACTGACCTTCCCGACACCCGGAGAGGGTTCTCCATGCGGATTTGGGCGTGGAATGACAACATTCACCAATGCACCTGCATATTTCGTGTAAACATTTCGATTCCACAGAGGAGAAAAAAAGACGAGTTTCTTCCAAATAATAAAATTAGAGAAAGCAGTATCAAATATATATAGGTAGAGGGTTAGCAAGTCTTCTGTCTGAGTATGTTAGGCTTGATTCTTTATAGCAGAATGAAGAACAAGAATGTGCTGTAAAACAGAAATATAAACACAAAAGAAAACAAAAAAATTAATAATAAAAAAAAAGACATCGCATCACATGTTAAAATAGAGGCATCAGATTATTTAAGAGCGGATCTGACCATATTTTCCACCCTCTTGTCTCATATCATCCACAATGTCTCCGTACTCATCATCATCTCTGAGATCGTCGACATTAAGTGCTTGAGTCAAACACACAACCTTTGTTGGCATGCCTTGTGGTTGCAAAATAAGCCTCTGAAAAACAAAAAGAATAAGCAAATTAGCCAACACACCATACCTAATAACACCAGAAATTGCAAGAGGCACGATGGTATATGAGGCTTAGTATGCCATTTGATACTCCAGTTTGCCGCTTCACAAATGTGATACCTATATTTGTTGAACATTACACATCTGGTACCTGAATTTTTTACTTCTACAAATATGGTACCTTTGTTTTCTTTTTTACCAATTTGGTACCTATAAATTTCAGACATTCCACGTGGAGCCAATCATTTTGGTAATGTTTGACAAATACACGTACCAAACGTGTATTGTCTGAAACATAATAAGTACAAAATTGGTAAAAAAAAGAACAGTTACCACATTTGTAGAAGTGCCAAATTGAGGTATCAAATTGGTTTAAAAAACAAGTACCACATTTATAAAAAGTGGACAAATTATAAAAGAATTCTAATCTTAACCTGCAAAGCAATTTGCTGCTGTGCATGCTGGAGTATACTTTCTTGCTCGGGTTTAGGCTGGGTGGCACCCTGGTTTGCTCGCCTAACAGTGAGAGTTTTATCACCCATTTTAATTCCATTTAGAGCAGCACAAGCTATATCTGTAACTGATAGATCTTGATAAACACAAAATGCATAGCCTTTAGAGTTTCCGGTTTCTCTATCTTTTACTAGATCAAAGCCTCTAAGAGGCCCAAAAGATTCCAAAAGCTCCCTGATCTGTGCTTCTGTGAAGTAATAGGGAAGTCCACCAACAAATATTCGGTCAGGGCCCTCAAGCCCACCAGCAGAACCCGGAGTTAGACCCACAGCAGCTAGATTAAGATTGGGATTCGGCTGGCTTGGACCAAGAGTTGCAGCAAGCGACGGATTATAATCACTAGGCCTTCTCACCTTCACTGGAGCTCCCTGAAATCAAACAAGTCAACACAATTTACAGCAATTAAAATAATCTGACATCAGGTCCAAAATAAAATGAAGATAAAAATACCTCAAAGATAATCCCATCTAAAGCCATTGCATTACTAGCCTCCTCAACAGATCTCATCTCTACAAAAGCAAACTTCTTTTCGTGGTTTATGTACACATTAACAACAGCATCCCCTGAATATATAACAAAATAACGGTGAGCAGCTATATAAGAAAAATAAGGCAGGTAACTCAGTCAAGTAATACATGGAAAAAACCCAAGGATACCTGGACCGGCAGTGTTTCCACCAATTGCAGCCATGACATGGCTGAAAAAAGTTGCAACTGACTGTAATAATCATTAAGGGTCAGTATTGGTTTTATTTAATCATAGCTTGGTACAACAGTTTCAGGTAGAACCTGTTCATTAGCAGTAGGAGAAAGCCCTCCAACATAGACCCGACGTGCATGCCTAGTTGCCTGAAATCAAAAGATAAAATCAAAAATTTCTGTAATGTAAGAAAATATTTTCTAAAGAGAGGTACACCTGACATATCATGCATAGTCCATCAAACCTGCTGAGTCATTGCCTGAACTGGCATAACAGGGAGAGCGCCAAATGGCTGCAGCAAACCAAAATTAAACAAAGTTACAGCACATAAAGCAGCTCGCAATATCAGGAGCATGAGAGCAATATATACCTGTCCGGTTGTAAGAGGAAACATGTTCAGAAACACGCCAGGTAAGGTTGGGTTAGTAGTCACAGGAACCTGGCCTGAAAGGAAATTCAGATTTCATATGAGGATATAGTAATAAATTAAAGTCACAATTCTAAAGGCAGTGGGTTTGGCATAGGACTTCTGCGCCTCATTTCCATATCATATGCAAACCTCTCATAAATTTGGAGATTGAAAAAAGAATCCATTGCAAGCTAAAGGTGGGGGAAATATTTAGCAAGACTACCAAAACAGGCAATAGTTGCCAGTTGAAGACGTACAATACCATCAAAACGGGTGCATTGATTCCTCCTTGTACATAAAAGCTACAGAAATCAGCTCACACCATTGCCTTCTTAAAAGCAAAGACAAACATAGAAACAAAACAAACAAACACCAAACAGAAGAAAAAACCAAAACCCTCAGTTCCAGAATTATTTACCAAGAACAATAAAATTTAAAAAAAATATTATATCATTCCAAAGGTCACTGCTTAAAAGGTAATATATACAAAACAGAAGAAAAAATACTGCTTACCAAAACCAGACCAGTATTTCGATACGAACTTTCCACACTAGATCATCCAAAAACAAAAATAACAGTTAACAAGGTACAGCAATCTTAATTTTCATGAACAGAGATATACCTGCAGCAGCAGCTGTCACAGCACCAGCAGCTAACATTGCTGAAGCTGGAGGGGCCATGTCAAAACCACTAATCCTTTTGCTGCAAAAGAATGAAGTTCAGAACCAATAAGTCAGGGATGAGAATATACAACTATATATATTTTTTTACTAATAATCATGTTCTCTATGAACTACCTCTTTGAGCGTGAGCGTGAGCAAGAACGAGATCTTGACTTTGATCTGTGCACAGATCTACTCCTTGAGTGGGATCCGGACCGGCGCCTATGCCTATCCTCCCTGTCTCTATCATAGTCCCTTCTTCTGCAAAATAAAGTTTCAGCAAAAACACTCATTAACCAATAAAGACAATTAACAAGAAGGATAAAAATGATTCATATTAGAGCTAACATTACCTGTCATAATCTCGACTGCGGTAATAATCATCATCATCCCTATCTCTTCCTCGATCCCTTCTATCACTGTGTTCCCTACTACGATCCCTATGACGTTCTCTGTGATGGCGTTCACGATCGCGATCCTTTTCTCGGTCCCTATCCCTATCCTTGTCCCTATGACGATCACGGTCCTTGTCAAGCACTCTTTCTCTCTGCTTTTCCCTGCTTCTAGAGGACTCTCTCTCAAAATCCTGGGACCCATACTTTAAATATTTAAGATTGCATTTAATTATATCAATAAGACCCAAAGTAAAATTGCATGTAATTCATAACACTAAAAGCCCAAATGTAGAACAGGCATAAAATTTTATTGAAAATACTACTTGTCAAACTAGACAAATTTTTTGAGGAACATAGAATTGAAAATCTAATTATATGTACATACTAAAGGTATAAAATAAGAAAAAAAACCTGCAAAACATAGTTGATGGAGATATAAACATTTAGGCTTGCCCAACCCAAATAACCGGGTTATAATTACTCCTATCTCCACAATCATATGGGATAAAATCAGGAAAGATAAAACTGAAGCACCATCTTACTTTAGTTCTGAGAAACTCATGTTTTGAAAACCTGGTCTGTATAAAAAATAAAATCTCTCATTTTCTGATGTTTATGTTATTGGACGTAATAGATATCGCTCAGTCAAACTACCAAAATTTCAATATACACATACACCCTAAATTCAAAGAAAGCCTTGAAAACCTCATTTAAAGCAAAAAATTATATATATACAAACACTCGATTGCTCCAATTGCCAACTTTCTGCAAATATTTTCTATTTCCTATTTACACCTTAAGAAGTTCACTGAAAAGGAAAGGGAAATGATACACAGTATAATCACGATTGACTAAAAAAAAGAGACTAAGATACAACACTAATTATGCAGTAGTAGTTCAATTGAGAAATAAAATCATATTACATATTATACATTTGATTTTCTTATCCATTCACGATTTTCCCATTTTTGGGCTAAAAATAACAGCAATAAATTCAAAATTTTCAGTGAAAATTTTCCAACAAAAACCTATAAATTCCTTCAAACATGAATCTAAAAAACGATTAAACATATGAGGAGGTGAAATTAAGCTAAATTCATCGCGATCTAACCTGATGATTAAAATCGTTCTGATTATCAGAACGAGACTTAGGAGAAGAACCTCCGCCATGACTGTTTTCGATGTTATCTCCGTTTCCTTGATACCGCGCTTCTTCATAATCAGTCATTTTTTCTTCCGATGCTTTGGTCGGAAATCCGTTAAGTTCGAAACCCAATTGCGAATTCCCGGAATCCCAACTCGCTTTGTCGGCTGGACGTAGGAGGAGGAGCTAGCAAGTAAGCAAAATAGGGCTTTGTTTTCCCTTTTATTTAAATTCCGGAATTGGGGATTGTAAACTTGGGGGGTTTTCTATATAAAAATACACCTGGGTTTAATAAATAGTTCTGTGATAGTACGGCCCATAAAAAGGGGAGTATGACTTGGGCTTTCTCTTATCATCGTTTTGGGCCCTTCCCTTTAAATAAATACTCAATCTCTATTCTTGTTAGGGTGTAATTCATAGGGATGAAAAAATAATTAAATTCCATGGATTCCAACCTAATTCGATAATATAATATTAACTCAAATTTATAATTTACTTGTTAAATCAAAGAAGAAGATTTGTCAAATCAGTTTTAGGTCAAACGTTTTATAATTTACTTGTTAAATCAAAGAAGAAGATTCATCAATAAGTGTGGCATGATTGCTGGTGTGATATTATTTCTTTTCCTTTCAATTCCCAACTTTTTAATTCTAAATGGCATTATTAAAAATAAGTGTAATCATTTAGTTACGGGAGATTCTAATTTCATAATCAATCTTTTAGTTTTATCAATTAAACTACTTCATAGTTTAAATGATGTTAATCAAGTCATCCTTTATTAACATTTGATAGAGGAGTTGATATGACAATTAATAAAATTGATATAATTATACATGTGATCCTCATTAATTACACATTTTACCATTTTGGTCTTAATTTTAATTTGATGTAATAAATTTAATTTCTTCAATTAGATGGTTACATATACCACTAAAATAAACTGGTAAAGAATGGTTTTAAGGGGCTCAAACTTGAGAGTTTGGGGAGAATAAGGCATGCTCTAACCACTAGGTCAAATCTCACATTTGACTTATAAATTATAATAATATATGGGATAAGATCATGTTGCATAATGTGAAACTATTTTAGTTTTATATAAATTTAGGGTCATTGGATGAGTAAAAATAGATGGTTAAATGAGAATATATTTACTGGGGGGAAAACAAAGAGTTAATATCAACCATCTATTTTCACTCATCCAACGATCCTAAATCTATGTAAAACTGAAGAGTTTTACATTGCGTAAGTGGATCCTAACCCATAATATACATATATTTGATAACTAATACTCACCATAAATATAGGTACTCAAATCCGAAACATATAAGAAAAATAACATTTTCTTTTTATTACCAAATCCGCTCAATAAGTTAATAATATATAATACTCTTATCAATAAATAATTGAATAAATTGTTTTAAACCAAGATTGAATAAAAAAATCATTAAAAGCTAACTCGGAACTTCCTAGAGGGAGCAAAAGCCAATGAGTTCAATAAAGTCATACTTATGTTATTATTATTTTAACAAAATCGATAAAAAATTACCTAAAATATTATATTTATATCTAAAATATTAATATTTTTTTAACATTTTTGATAAAGTGCCTAATAATAACAAAATAAGCAGAAAAATAAAAAAATCGGTAGCGTTTTACCAGATATGTTAACAAAACCGGTAAAGCGTCCAATAATAACAAAACGGGTAGAAATAATATTGTTTTCAATAATTTTTTACTGATTTTGTTAAAAAAAATAATAACAAAACCGATAGTACATTTCTTTAACCGTATATTAAATCTGCCGCACGTGAGAATTTCCCTAAAAGTATACATTTACCCTTATCCTAAAAGTATACATTTACCCTTATTGCTTTCTTCATTATTTGATAACACCCCAATCTTCTATATGTACTTGCACGTGATACTATACATACATGCTCACGGGCCGGGTTGATTTAACCACAATTTTAAATATTTAAATGTATATGTTTTATAATTAAAATTAAATATACTTTGTTATTAAATAACACTTTAAATCAAATCAAACTAAACCAAATGAAATAAGCCCTGGAATATATATATATATATACCATAATTAAAGTCTTTAGAGTCCATAAGTAGGATTCAAAGAGTGGCTCATATTCTTGTTAAAAAAGTAATTATTTTAAAATTATTTGTGAAGTTTGGAAAACAATATAAGCAGTGTCTCAAATAATATATACAGGAGAGATTTATTATTAAAGTATAAAATAATATAAGTACATAAACTTATCAATTGGAAATAGTGATCAAAAGAAATGTTATTTCTCCTAGAGGTTTTTACTTCAAACAGTTATATCTATAAAGTGTATGCGTTATCAATAAATTAAAAAATTATAAATAAATATTACTTCTTATAATCACTTTAAACTATTAAGAAAATATAAACGCATATGCATCGATTTGGATGTCAAAGGTTTAATGGATGAGAAAGCATTAAGTCAGTTTTTAAAATTTGCAAATAAATGCACAAGCTAGAAAACCAACTTTACATTACACACATTGTTTAAGCTTCACATATAGGCTGTAGAAACCGACATATGTAAATTTTAATTTATAAAAATATTTTTATTTATATTTGAACAGTTGTATATGGAAGAACAATTCCAAGACTAAAGGCCGACCATATTGCTCATCCAAGATACTCGTTTCAGCAAAAAAATATAAAACTTGTTTAAACAAAGTAACTAATAATATTGCGATTTGAGCTTATTCAAAAAAAAGTTTATGAACTAAATATTAAATTTAAACATAATAAAAAAAATCAAAACTAAAATTATACCAAAAGGTTGAATAGTAAATTGGTTTGTTTTTTCAAAGCTGTTGTGGGGGTAGAACCGTGGGAGACATGTCCATAACAAATGACTATCTATAATGTTGCTAAGCCTTATCGTGTCTAATGAATTTGATACCCATCACGTCCCAATCTCTTTTAATTTCTTTTTGAATTTTGAACCCATTAATAATAAAAGAGAATTTTAATTTCCTTAGAAAATTCATTGAGTAATTGTGTATGCAGGATGTATATATATTGTCGATGACAAAAACAAATTCTAAACAAATACTATCTTTAATCACCCGAATTATTAAAAAATTTATTGAAGTTTGAACATTACATTTAGTTCACGACAAATGGACCACAATTAATATTAGGTAGATGAACTAGGAATAAAGGGACAAAACACACAGATGTGGCAATTTGATTACTGCACTATACTTTTAAATGGACGGCAAGGTCTGAATTGGGAAGATATCATGAGAGGATGGAAATTGACAACAATTATACACCGGCTAAATTGTAGGGGGTGGGGGGGGGGGTGGGGGAATGCAACAAGCTTTCCTAAAATGGTAAGTAAATATTCTTTAATTTTTTTGGTATAATTCTTTAATTAATTTTTGGATGGGGGTAGGAGATTATTTTTTTTTCCATAAAATGTATATTTATCGTTTCGTAAAGCAAACTATACGATTAATTAACTTTTAAGATTATCAAAAGATCTTTTTTGTTGCTTCTATATTAAAGTCATCAAAATATATGTTAAAAATGGTCTTTAAATTTAAATTTTCTCAAATTCAAGTTATTTTATCTATTGAATAGTGAGTAAAAATAGTGTACGGCGAGAAGCATGTGGAGAGAGGCGATGGGAGTTCCTGTGTACGGCGAGGTGATCGGAAAAATAGTGTTTGAAAGTCGGACTGAGATCACCGATGACAGAAAAAAATGAACAGCAGCCAAAAGCGGACGGGTGTGTTTTTTAAATGAAAAGCATATTAAAAAAATTAAAATATTTATCCCTAAACTACTTTGAATTTATAAAATATAGAAATTAAAATAACAATTAAATTTTTTACTTACATGTCACGTTTTCATAATAACGACATTAAGCGTTTCAATGACCAAATTTAATAAAATGATAAAAGTAACGGAAATTTAATGTTTATGTTAAAATTATTAGAATTTTATATAATTACTTATATATAATCCATAAATTTAGTTTTTTAATCTAATTTATAATTTTAAAATTTTATATTTGTATAAACATATTTCAATATATCTAATTGAAATATATTTGATTTAAAAAATAAAAATAAAAATATTATATATATATATATATATATATATATATATAAGTATGTTTGTAATATATTTGATTTAAAAAATAAAAATAAAAATATTATATATATATATATATATATATAAGTATGTTTGTGTGCATATATAATTTTTATGCAAATAGAAGCCACTAGTTTTATTAAAAAAAGAGATGATATCTAACATTACAATGAACATATAATTAAGACATATCCATATAATCATTAACATAAGAAACTAGCCACTTGAGGATCTCATAAGGACCATGCAAAGAAAAGGTTAAAAAGTCTTCCAAAAACCTCGAACAAAAGATAGATATGAACAGATATAACTACATCGGTAAATGAACCACAATAGGGGATTAAAGTATTGAACGTCCACCGACATTCGAAAATCAAAGTTAGGCATAGTGAGAACACTATATCTGAACGTAAATCGTGTATTCAAATTCATTATTAGGGTTTAAAGCAGGAAGATCAACAAGATAACAAATAAGCTCCAATTTGATCAGTCAATGCGTCTTCAAATCAAACTCTGGAAAAATTAAACAAAAATGATCAAACGACCAAAAACGTACCAAAATGTTGAGAAAAATGTGTCATAGAGATAGACGAAAGTGTGTCAAAGAGACAGAGTTAATGAAAATTAAAATTTTAGAAAGAAGAAGATGAAATATAAGAAAATAAATAAATAAAACAAGGAATATAAATAATCAACGACCAACACAAAGACTAGTGTCATTGATTGTCAAATAAAGAAGAAAAAAGCACAAGAAGAAAGCCGCTAGAAAAAAAGTTTACAAATATAAAGTTTTAAAAGTATTAATTAGGTTAAAAACTATACATGCATATATAATCACATGTCATTATGTGTTTGGTTTAAATTTTATATGAAAATCATATATTTATAAAATATATAAACATAGAATGAAGTTATATTGATTACAATTCTAATTATTTATAAAAATTAAATTAAATCAAAATTAATGTATTAGACCACATATATAATGAGAAAATGGAACAGAAATAGAAAGACATACCGGGTTCATTCAAATTGATACATTTTTTCAGTCTGAATTACATAAGAA